CAAAGAGGAGTTGGATGATGCTAATGGATTTGACCCCTAATGAACATGATCATCTCAAGTAGAGTAAGGAAATGATATCAAATTTATCATGCATATGACAAACCACCTTCAAGGATAAAGAATTTGCAAGGGGAGTCTATTTGCAAGTAAAAGATGTAGCCATCGATGTGTATTATAACTTATCCCTGAATGTACAGTGACTGATGTTTCCTTTGCCAATCGCGTCACTGTATCATGCGCCACCACCGTTTCAGCACCAATCATTGCTAATGATTGGCGCTGATGGTTGATTTGACCAAATTGGATTAAAATAATCATAAAAATCCTAGTATTTTCCAAAATTCCCATCAAATTGGACATTTTTGGGCTCGTTGGAAAGGAATTTAGTTTAGTATTTATTAAAATTAAAATTGAGTTAATTTGATTCCTAAATTGTGTGATATTTTAGTTTGTTTGAAATTAGTTTTTTGTAATTTTCTCACAATCCAGTGGTCAATTAGGGTCCAAATTTTGGTGAAAAGGTTTTTGGATATCTTAGGCATATACTATAATTTTCTTAGGATCAGATACCCAATAGATTGCTGTGATGTAAATTTTTGAAGCAATGGATCTATTTTGGACCCAAAACTTTGAAAATTTATAACTCTTCAAATCTTTAGAAATAGGGTGCATGATTGTTGTGGTGTGATTGCATATATACCAGAATTAGATGAATAAAATTTAAAGTCCAAATTAATTATAGTGATACTTAGGAAAAATAATTAAAGTGATCTAAATGACTTAGAAAATTCCTAAGAAATTTTACACACACCCAATAGATATAAAACTTAGCAAACACAAACTCAGTGACATCTTACACTATATGTTTAAATTTGATTGAATTTGGAGCCCTTTAGGTCAGAAAATTAAACATGTCAAAATTCAACCTTTTTAGGGACTTAACAAATTTTAAAAAATTGTAATAAATCCAAATCAAATCCAAAAAATTCAATTAATACATCAAACTGGCCACGGATGTGTCATTTAGTTATAACCAAATCAATATGGCTCCTTAAGATAAAAATTTTAATGCTTTTTGAAGCTCTATTAGAATTTATTGCTATAAGGTTAGACCTTTTAGTCTTAAAATTGCTAGTGTGGCCTACCAACTAAGCCATGACCAAGTTCTTTGATGAACTTATATACAAAAAGTAAAGTGTTATATCGATGATCTAGTTGTTAAGATTAAAAAATATATATTTTTGATTTAAGAGTTCTTTTTGAACTGTTATGTTACTATGGTTTGAAGATGTACCCTTTGAAGTGTGTCTTTGGAGTGACTTTAAGGAAGACTTTTAGGCTTCATAGTGGGCACCATAAAATTCAAATTAATCCAACAAATATCAAAACTATCTTAGAGATGAAATTTGCTATTAGTTTTAAACAGTTAAGATCTTTTTAAGGTGCGTTGGCATAGCCAAGACATTTATTTTGAATTTCTAGAATGAATTCATAGAATGTCAACCCTTTATTACTTTATTTAAGAAAGATTCTAAGTTCCGTTGAAATGATAATTATCATAATATTTTTTTTAATTTAAAATAGTATTCGATTTCTCCTTTAATGTTGGTTCCTAGTTTAGGAAAGCTATTTACTCTTTACCCAATGGCTTTGAATGAATCTCCTGGTGACTTATCAGGCCAAAATAATTTGGAAGAAAAAGAGAATGTACATTCTAATTTAAATTATTATCTTGTCCAACAAAAATAAACTACCGATCTATTGAAAAATATTATGTGGATGCAATTTTTGGTGCCCATAAGTTAAGGCATTACATGCTTTCTTATGACTTGTTCAACATATATATTTTTTTTTGCTTATTAATTTATAATTTTACTCTAATTTGACATAACATTTATACCTTTATTGGATGAGAAAGGTTAGGATTTAGCAAACTACTTAGTTGTATACCTGATCCTTGTTAAATATCATGTAAATGATGATCTTCCTAATTTGGAAGAGTATGAAAACTCTACTAATAAGTTATGTTTTGATGGTTCAACTTCTTCATAAAAAGGTAATGGACCGCAACGTACTCTTTTAACGAAAGCTAAAACTGCAATTATTTTCATAATCCTAAAAAATGAATGTTATTATATTCTTATCAACTATCACAATATTATACAAATAATGAAGCTAAAAATGAAGCCTTGAAAAATAATTTAGAATTATCAGATTTAATGGATATTAAAGAAATCAATATCATTGGAGATTCACAACTAGTTAATGATCAAATTATTGGAATTTCTACTGTCTTAAAACCAAATATATTATATTATTATTATGCCCAGTGAAACTCCTTGAGCAAATTTCCATTGTGACTTTATTTTGAATTTCCTATGAAATATATTTTATGATATATGCTCTCATAAAGCTTGCAAAGGAAATTACATGTCCTGAAGAAGAATTCATGCCTATAAAAGTTTAAAATCACTATATTAGATCTCCTATAGATATGGAATATGTTATCAAATCTTTGCCTGAGGGTGAGATTGTTATCATCATAGATAGTGAAGATGTTGAATAGATATAATGATTCATTGACTATTTGAGAGAGGGAAAACTACATTAGGATAAATCTCTAACTAACTAGAGCAAGAAGAGAGTGTTATCATATGATTGATTAATAACTTTATGTGCTCACAATCATTTGATCAAATGTGATTGCATTGCCTTGAAAAACATGAAGCTATACGATTGATATCGAGGTATATATAAGATTGTGTTGTGCTCACCAATTTGATCTAAATATGGAAATGAAGATTAATAGACGTGTACATAATGGGCCCTCAATTATTAATGACTATATAGAGATTACATGTTGTTGCCATTAGTGCATAATATATGCAATTTTACATTAGTCGCTCATTATTAAATTTACACCCTATGATAGCTTCACATCCTTTTGTGCATTGGGGCACATATATTATTTATCCTATTGACCCACCCTCCTAAGATTCATAGGTTCATATTAACTATGACATTTTATTTTGCTAAGTGGGTAGAAGCAATGCTTCTATGAGAAGTCAAAGCTTGTCATGTAATTCAATTCTTCTAAGACAATATAGCATATCAATTTGGCGTACCTCATTAAATCATATTCGATAATGATTTTGTGTTGAAAAGCACTAAAATCAATCATTGTATCAAAAGAATCAACATTTTACTCAACTATATATTATCCTCAGGCTAATGAGTTGGCTAATCCCTTTAATAAAGTGCTTGTTTAACTTCTAAAGAAAATTTTGGATGAAAATAAGTAAATGCGGTATGACAAGTTCATTGATACCTTGTGGACTTACCAGACCATATATAGGACCCTAATTCAACCTACTCTATTTTCCTTAGTTTATGAGGTTAAGGTTGTTCTTCGGTTAAAACTAAAAGTTATCTCACTAATGATAGCTACTAGTATACAAATGATATTAGAAAAGAATGCTCAAATTCAATTGAAAGAGTTTAATATTCTTGAAGAGAAGCATTTGTAAGTTTTACACGACCTTGTGTTATGTAAGTCCTATATGGCTAAAAATCATGATAAATTAGTTAGTTCTAAAACTTTTAAGTAGTAAAATTGATCTTAGTACTTCAAAGGTTTATTTTTCCATCAATAAGGTGATAGGCAAGTTTGAGGCTATATGGGAAGGCCCATTTTAAACGAGAAAGTCTACAACTTATGCTTCCATTCAATGGACATTATCTTAAGAGATATTACGCATAAATGTTTTCCATAATAAACTTCTATTAAATGATGTTTTTGATATACACATGCATTAATTCGCAATTTGTTTATTAATACTAAGGCTTGATATTTGAATTTGGAATCAAAATTCAATTACCCTATGAGTGATTGATATGTCTTGATAAATCACATCTATCTGGAATGTTCAAATTATTCTTGTTTCCCATAAAGCATGACCTAGAAAAAAATATATGATTCCCAACGAAAATTTATATGTTATTTTATGCCATCTTCAAAATTTCCTCATTCCACATTTAGAATTTCTCATCTTCCTATGAGTTATGGGTTCTAGTTTCACTATACCAAAGTTGATATAGTGAACTAAATCTTGGGTTAATTTGGGTAAGCTCAAGTCTTCATTGGCCCCTTCCTAGTGCAACAAAATTTGTTAAATCTTATGTAGGATTTTAAGTCTACAAGGCACCTTTCTTAGTATAAACTAATAGGATATAGTGTAGCCATGACTAGATTTACCAAGATATGAAACAAGTTCAAACATATTGTATGGCACCTGATCTCATGATAACACCAAATGCTTTCAAAATTCTTACCTATTCAAGAAACTGTTCTTAAATTTTGCGTGCCAGTATGAAACAAGCACTGGCTTACTATGATTTCTGTCCACTGACTTACTATGATTTCTGTCCTAAAAAAAATTCCGATTTTTCTGAGATTTGATGGTCTAATTATAAATAATGTTCTTAGAAAGAGTTGGAAAACATATTACACGTAAATGTAATAGTAGAATGAAAAATCAGCAGAGCACATTGTATCATTGTTTTGGACTTTGGTGCCCTCAAATTGCACTTGAACTTAGGAAAAAAAAATTGAACTAAAATTTAAATGCTCACAATGAGTGATGATCAACAAATGTAGAATCAATGGTTATTTAAAGAACTTTACTAATACAAAATGGAAGATATATGGTTCATGGCGGTTGTGCCAGTATGGATGAAATTAACAAATTAGAACTTATCATGATAATACATGTTACTGAAATAAAAAAGGCTCAATCAAAATATTATCAATGGATATTTATGATGTACTGAAAACAAGAATGATTACATGGGATAATTATTCAAAAGTTTTAATTGGTGGTTAAAAGGTCAATCTTATTCAACTTAACTAACCAAGGTCATGAAGGGATCCTCTACATTCAAAACAAATATGAGGGCGTAAGAATTTTAAATTTTAATAGCACTTCGTCCTCCAGACTCACCACGCATGGTTTTGTCAAACTCCAGGTGAAGATGAAGCTGTCCCTAAGCAACTTTCAAGCACCTATATTCTCAATCTCAGCAGACTTGTCCATCCTCTTCAGTATGCCAGCAATAACCTGAATTGGTAGAATGCCAGAAAATATTATTACACGAAGTACTCATTAATGGAAACTAGGGAAAACAGCACTAATTACAAAATAAGTTGATAGATGAAGTGATGAACATTTTAGCTAAAAAATATTTTAGCTTTCAAATAAATACTTGGGCTACATTTGGGACGTTCTTTTATTGCTTCTTAAAACAACTTTGTAATTTAATAATTAAAATTTTTATACTAAAAAGCTGCTTTAAGAGAGTAAGAAAGTCATCCCAAATGAAACTTTAGGCTGAAAATATAAGCATTATTAGATAAATACTTGCATTGTGGAAATATCCATACCTTTCCAGGTCCAAGTTCATAACTTTTCTTTAATCCTTTACCCAAAAGAGTCTTGACTGTTAACTCCCATTGAACTGGAGAGGTTACCTAGGTTTGAAGAGATTAGAGATTCCATTAGTATTTCACTGTTATTATTTTTACAAATAAAAACATTTGTTGATACGATATGTGGAAAGCAAAATGTAAATCTACATGCCTGGAGTGCCAAGATGTTCTTGATTTTATCGGGGTTTGAGTGAGGCTGGGCATCCACATTGGATATAACTGGTATCCTCGGTGTTCTTATCTCTGTCGCTGCCAATGCAGTTTCCAATCTCGAGACAGCTGGCTCCATAAAGCTTGTGTGAAAGGCACCAGCAACAGCTAGGCGTACCTGATGGAAGGCAAAACATTTATTGCATTCCCACACACTTATTCAACCAATGCTGTTCTTTGTTGTTGTAGTCAATGTGAAATATTAACATGTAATCATCCTTCCAATTTTGGTTGTAAATGAGCACTCATCAATGCAGGCAATAGTTACAAAGTAACCATCAAGGAATTTAAGAAATATGAACTGATTACTCTGCCAAAGATTAAAAATACGAGAAGTGCTCAGGCAATTTGATAGATAGATCCAACTTAATAGTAGAGTGTACCTTATCACAATTTTATTGTGATTATTTACATCGTGGGCACCTATCTTAAATCTTTTATTATTGTGTTACATCTACTTTATTCTTTTGCTTCTCGTGCTCAGAGAGCTTCCGTGAAGAAAAGCATATAGAAAATTGAAGCCCCAATATAGGTGATAGGTGATCTATGACAAGTGGAGGAATGCTCCAATTTGAAAATTGATTACTTCAATAATAGAATGCAAGGGTAGAAGTATGCAGTTATAAAGTTTGTCAGGAGGGAGCTTGATGAGGACATCAGGACGTCGATCTACGGCCTTGATTTTTCCGTTCTACTTTTGATTTTCGTATTTATTATTGATATATTAGTTTTTATTTAAGAAGTTTTATTATGATTTTCCATTTTTGCCCTTACTTAAGAGCTTACATATGTGTAAGCCCTAGGGACATTGTAGTACTTTTTATTTTCTCATTGTATGGGCTATTTAAGCCTCCCTCTTCTTCTTTGAGGGCTAATGAATGAATTATAAGAAAATTCCTGCACATGTGTTCTTTGAGTTGTGAGAGTTCTAGGAGGGAGCTTTGGAGAAATTCCTAGGGAGGGAAAACGGATCACCCACCAACCTTGAAGACGGCCGGGTTCGTGGTTTATTTTATCGTTCTTTTCTTTTAATCACCTTTCCTCCTAGCCGCTAGATTCCCTAGCCACCCCCCACCTTGCCGCCGGCCAACATCCCCCACCAACCCCTCTCCCCTCCACTTCCAAACCGGCTCTCCCTCTCCCACCACCAAGCCATTCAACCCAACCCCTTGCCCCTCTTACTGCCGGCCCCACCACCCACTTCACCGTCGCCCTCCTTCCTCCTCCCCACCGCCAGCTCCTCCTTCCTATATTTGGAAAGCCTATTGGATGGTGGTTAATTGATATTATTATAATTGAAGAAATATAACTTCTATATTAGTAATAACAATACAAATCTAACTATCTAATAGGCCATCTAACTCATCTCTATAACTATTGAGGCTACTTACTGGGAGTTGCCTTATAAATTCATTGCTAAACCTAAAAAAACAAATATAATTTAATCATGTAAAGTTGGGAAATTAAAATATATACATAATAGATATTTTTTTAGTGGTTACCTGTAGCCAACTGAAAGTCCATCCAAACTGACATGATGTGAGACATGAAGTGCAGGTCGTCCAACATGAGGTCCCTGCCAACACCAACTCTGAAGCAAATGAATGCAGCCTGCAATATTTTCCCTCTTTAGCTTGGTAACCTCAGCAAGTTCCTGGTACAAGTGGGCTAGTACTGCTTCCCCTAAAGAGTATGTGCTAAACAAACCCAAGTCCTCAATAACATCAAATGAATCTCACAACCTGAGGTGTTCGGGAGTAGATAAGTTCCCATCAAAAAGAGAATGTACGCACGAATATGCCGCAAAAAATCTAGCTTGTTCAAGTCCAAATAGGAATCCCTATAGAAGGTCCAACGTAGCCATCTCAAAGGTAAGCAAGTATGAGCTTATGCCTGTCCCATCTTGAACTTTGATGAGACTCGTGGGTTGAATGGATCATGATAAATGACATCTCACTCAGGATGCTACCCTAATAGATCATCACAGCAATCCGGACAACTAGGCCATCGTCTACGAGGCCCTACAACATTGTTCCCAACTAAAGCCGACCCATCAATCTGAAGGCCGAATATTAGAGCAATATCTTGTAAAGTAATACTCATCTCACCTACAGGTAAGTGAAATGAGTTTGTGTGTGGTGATCAATGCTCAACCAAAGTTGTAAGAAGATTGTGATCCATCTTTATGTATCGCAGCTAACTAACACAGTCCAATCATAAGACTCGAAGTCCTTCCATATATCTCGGATAATTTATTGGTCACTTATGAACTATAAGAAGATGCTAGGCAGCTTCCAAAACTGTCCCCTACATGTCACGAATATTTAAGGGCATTAGTAACATTAAATGAAAGAATGATCATCATAATATTTTAAATATTATCATACCTCATCCTAATGATCCGCTCTCTGTGACCCACGTAATGAGGCGATGCTGGGATTTAGATCCATCAGCACATTTTGCTGCTCTTCATCACCCTGTGCTATAGCTTTTCTAGCTTGACACTTTCGACGTGCAGGTTGACTTTCCGCCATAATACTTATAATTTGGCATCAAAAAACAATTAGTTCATATAATAAAGTAAGGGTAAATAAAATATTAAGAGGGTGAAATAAATATTATGGAGACATTATGAATTATGTGCTCCCCCCCGCGCTCTTTCCTAAAATATATCAGTTTGATTTGGAAATTATTTGAATTCAAATTCAAGAGAATTTGAAAGTAAAATCTTTCCAAATTAAAGTGGTCTAAGTTTGGAAAGTCCATTAATTATTAATCGAACCCAAATTTGAGATTGATTATTTAATTAATTCAAACCCCCACACTTTCCGAATTAGAGGAATTTTTAACACTAAGCATGATTAGAAATGTAATTACCCATTTAAGCATCAAAATTATAAAATTTAAAATTAGACATAATCGCCCATTTGAACGGTGATTGCCTCTTATGGCCTAAAATGCCCGTTAATTAGGCGATTTACTTAAAGACATAAATCGCCCGTCTAACGGGCCATTTTGGTGTTATAAAAAAAATCGGCCGAAGCCCTCGGACCCCCCTTCTCCGATCGTTTTCTCTGCTTCTCTGGAAGTTTGCCCGAGTTTCACCTCTGGAAGTTTGCCCGAGTTTCACAAACCGCCAGACATTGCCATTTCAGGTTAGTGTATTTTTTTTGTTTTTGCTTAAAATTTTTCACTTTTTAAAATCCTTTCTTGAATAGAAGATAGAGTATGGAGAAAAAATAAAAATGCACCGTATAAATTTGTAGAATGAAATGGTTTTAGGTGATCAATGTATTATGTATTTTTTTCACAGTATAAATTTGTAGAACGAAGTGGTTTTAGGTGATCAATGTATTATATGTATTTTTTAGAAATGTTTGGGTAAATCATGAGAAACACAAAATATTTATGCATTTTTTAAGCTTGTTAATGCTCAGTTATTTGTTTGTAAAATAATTATGCTTATTTATATTTTGCTTTAGGGAATCATTGAGGTAGTAAATATAATTGTGGGTCGTTTTCTCAAATTTAGGGAGGGGGTTGTCCAGCATCTGCATTGATCTCACAAAATGTAGTAGCCTTTATTGTAATATATTTATTAAGTAATTACGTTGAAACATATGTTGATAATTAAATCGTTCATTATTTGTAATAATTAATATTCCTTATTTATAATTAATTATTTTCATGTAATTTTTAATATTTGTAGAAAATATAAATGAATAAAAAATAATCCAAAATATTTAATGAAAAAATAGTAAATTTGTTAAATTTATGTGGAATTCTAAAGAGAGATTAATATTACTATTTATAAAAGTTATATTTTCATGATTTAATGATAATATTAATATAGTAAATATAATTAATTGAAATTCATATGAGTTTGATGATTGTGTTGATAAAAAAATATATCCTTTCAAATTTATTGTAAATGTATGTATAGAAAATGAGTTCACGACCGCCATCTTTTATGTTGTTATATGACTGTGAGTTATCCATAGATGATAAATTTTCGCCATCATGTATTAGTGGTAAATGTCGGACCCTACAAGTTCCATTCAACTCGACTTTGAAGCAGTTCAAGGATCGAGTTCTCAAAGCCCTGAAGTTCGATCCCTCAAAGTTCGTGGTGACTATTGTGGGTCGTTTTCCAGTGGACAACCAATTCATGGCCTCGAAGCTTGAGGACGATGAAGGTTGTGAATTTGCATTATCATTGGCTACTTCTGAAGTTCTTATTCTGTATGTGGAGGTTGAGGAAATTCCTAGTGATATTAATTTGGATCAAGATCTGTCGACTCAAATTCGCGATTCAGTCGTACTAGATCATGTACATGAGATGCATAATGCTGCGGAGATGGCCTTGGCAATTCCAAGTACACATCTAGGGTATGTTAGTTGTGAAGGAAATATTGAATTTTTAAAGTAAAATATTATTCATCGTTATATAATATTATATATGTATAAATGCAGATCCACACCAACCTCATACCAAAAGAATTTGGCCGGTCCTTCTACACAATCTCAGCCTACTTCTATTTTTGAAGTCAATGATATTAGATTATTTGTTCCTACTATCAATAATGAAGGTTATAAGATAATGAGTAGTTGTTCAAGTGATGATAGGGATGAAGAGTTTGATGATATCCTCCATGATCCTAATGTAACGAATATTGTTCAGCCAAATACCAATGATATTATTCATGACTACTGTATAAGGATTGAAAATACAGTTGAGGGCATGACATCTAATAATGAAGATGCTGAGATTCTCAAGACTACACGTCAGTGGAATGTGGAGGTTGCACCTGATAGTAGTAATGTTTTTAACATGACAGATGATAAATTTAACATTCTGAATGAATTGGTAGAGTATATGTGTTTACGTAGAAAATCTGAACTGCAATTTGCCTTGCACGGTCAATCACAAATAATGTTCAATCTGTCGTTGTGGCTTCGAACAAACAAAAATTCATAGTTGCTTGTGTACAACATAATACTTTGTCAGTAAAGTGTCCTTGGCGTTTATATGCCAGCCTAAGCAAGCGATTGGGGGGGGGGTATGGAAGATAGCTACCATAAAAGGTCCACATACGTGCACGAACCCTATTCTTCAAG